ACCCCCCCCCCCCCCGTGCATGAATTTTGTGCACCAGACCTCTAGTGTTAATATAAAAGGTTGTATTAAAGAGCCAGGAAAGATTGAAAATTTGATAAGGATTGACAATTTGGGAAGGTAACAGGAGCTAGTCCAATTTACAGATAATAGCAAAACTGATTTTTCCACAGTTGGGGAGCAAGTCAATTAAATAACCACCAGACAAGATAGAGTTTGCATATGCATCAGTTATTCACAATTTAAAAATATACCTAAAATTGCTCAAAGACAATGAACAGGGCTAGAATCTGCTAAACTGGAAGGATGTGCTATATGATGTATAGATGTCATTGAAACACCAAATGTCTCCTTACACTCACCCCACTTTTGATAAAAAAAAATAATCTCAAAGTGTGATTATTCTTGATGCTAAAATAAGGCCATTTTAATTAAATTTGACATAGTTATTTAGAAAGGTATAGAAAGTGGTCATTTACCATCTAGGCCCTTTTAAGTTTGCTTTCTGGAAATGTTCATAAGGAATTTCAGTTTGAATGTTTTAAAAAGTCTCTTGAAGTTGGAGAGTTAAGCTGGGTATTCCCTATCAGATTTCACCTGTAGTAGCTATATATTCAGAAACTTTCCTCTCTTCTTAAGGTCCCTCTAATATGCAATGATTCATGGACCTGTCAAGAGTTGCCTTTCTTACTCACTGGAAAGACTGGGAATCTGTATGCCAGGTATCAGGCCTATTTGCCCATGAGGGCCTTGTTCGCATTAGTTCTATAAAGCCAACTTTGTTCCTTAAAAATTTCTGGACATATTTAATTAATGAGCATCATTCTCAAATATGACATTCCAGGCAAAGCCTTGGTTGCATAACCCATATTTTCAATTATGTCATGGTAACAAGAAAGACATAGTCTTATTGAACCTCCACAAAAATATTGCCATGAAAATAAAAATACTCAACAAGAGTTTCTGAAGTCTGGAGGAATCAGATAAGAAAAATAAGAAGTTATTAACAAATGTTTCATTTCAGTTTACAAAAGCAGAATCTATTAGATTACTTTCATAGATATCTTCAGAGGAAAAAGAAAGGGCTTCCTTATATATTAAAAAAATAGAATATTAGGACAACCATATTCAAACAAAAAACCACAGTCATTCCTCATCTGCTCATTCAGTCTTATGCAATTAAATCTTGTTCCACTTAAGCTGTAGTTGGCACTATCATGAACCCATCTGTTTCTCAACTGGAGTTCTAGAAATCCTGACTCACTCCACTGGGATGATCTCAAAGTCAATAGATGCCAACAGAACTCCATATCTAAACTCTGTAGTTGGTATAGTCCTCTTTTACAAGTCTCTGAGACAGTACTTCTATGTTGAAAATGATACACTCTG